GCGCAAGGATGACACGCAAATTCGTGAAGCGTTCCAAATTTTTTCTCATTTTCAACTTTTGGGACAATTTTATTTCACTGAAAAATGCCCTTTCAAACACTTTTTGGGCATAGACTCGTGTAATTCTGATCAATAAGTCTCCAAGAACTCGAAAGATGTAAAATTTATTCATTAATCAACTTTAGATTCCTTTTCACGAAGAGAGAAAGATAATTTTTCAAAAAAAATATGAATACTTCAAAAATAAATTTGAATTTCGCGCCTCTCCTGCTGCTGGATATCGAGGCTGCGAAAAATATCCGCACGGGGGAGTACAGAGGCAAATAAGTATCCGGTACAAAACTTCGAAACTTGGTCAAATTTCAGAGATAGGGAGAGAAATCAAACTTTTTGACTCAATATCCTGTATCATGGAAGCCAAGTAACTGTACTTGAAGTACCTTAGAAATATATTCATTTATTAAGTTCAGTGTTCGAATACATTTCGAAGCAAAATAAACGGACCACGCGTCTTGATCTCTAACCAGCTAAAACTATCAACACGAAATTCGTGCTAAAAAGAACACAGACTACTCTGTATGAAGGTGAGATTTTAGTCATTTCCAATCATTTCAATGAAATCTTTCTAAAAGTCCACCAAGTCGAGCTATTTTATGTTCCATGTTGAGTTGTGTGATAGTAGAGTAGCCGTCACGGGACGGGAAAATACAATCAAGAACACAGACCACATATATGAAGAAGTTCTAAATCTACGGAGCTCAACCATAAGCCGATCTATCTATAAATACGGAACAACAAGGGTTTCCTCGCAAATCGAGCTCCTTTACGCCGACATCCTGATGTTCGAGGCATGCTAGATCACAGGGGCCCAGGCTCAACAGTTGTGTTGCGTTCACGGCGGGTGTCAAAGTATTACATGTAATTGCGGGGTTCGCGGTTCGAGCCCTCATGAAGCCGTAAATTTTTTCTACTTCATTTCTTGAGACTTTTCAAGACTTTCTCTTTCTTTTCTTTTTTTTTTTAAGCATAAACAGTTTTATGAATAAAGATTGATTTTTAAAGCCATTTTTCCCTCATTATATAAAACAGAGAAGATTGAGCCCCTTCCGCAGGCTGATGTTCGATGTATCGCTCAGCCAATCGTATTATAAGGATTGACAAAAATGGACCAATCGTATTATAAGGATTCGTTTTCTCTCGACCAATCGTATTATAAGGATGGTCAAAACAAACTTTGGTAGCTCTGACTACCAAAGCAAAAATTTCAGTACGTTCTCTGATCTTTTTCGAGAGCGTATTAAAACATTTTTGAGCTAAAAAAGCGAACAAAAAAGCGAGAATTTCCATTTCAGATCTACGCGTTCTTAATTTGTATTCTTAGAATCAAATTAGAACACGTTCCTACAGAAGTAATCGTCTACAGAAGTGGTTGGTATCAAAGGTAATTACTATCTCAAGTCAATCGTATATTATTGTTGTTTGCCTTTGTTTTTTTTTTCTTTCCTTTTCACTGTTTCAGCATGATACGAATGCCCAAGTTCCGAAGAAACGAAGACGGGTTCCTGATCCTATCCTACAGCGACGAAGCCAACCAAGTCTTCAAGAAGAACAAGGAAAAGTCATCGGAGAAAATTAGTAAACCTCACGAAGAGGTAAGTCAGAAAGTTATCCGTTTCTTACACGATCTGCTAATACTGATAAAGCATTCAGTAAATAGTCCTTCACCCAAGTTTTACGAAATGTTTTGCCGTAGTAATCCATTTTTGAAAGCAATGCTCGATACCGAGTGCTTGAATTTTGACCGTTACACTTCATGGCACGTTCACATTCAATGGCAAGAAAAAAACCGTTAACTTTATGTTAGACTATATACGAAATATACTTAAAAAGTATAGTACCACAGCATTAACCCAAAGAGAACACTATTGTTATTGTGGTTTAAAAATCATTTAAGCCCCCAGCTTTGCTTTGATTTTACCTTTGTGTTCATTCATTGTTGTAGTGGTCACGGCGTCTTAACCTCACTTAAGCTTTCGTGTTTAACAACAAAAGTAATTTAAATTTAACAAAAGTAATTTAAATTTAATGCTCCATTTACTTCGGGGTTAAACATTTCAATTATAAATTAATCTCCCGTTGTGTGGCTGCAAGACATTTATACACGCTTTATCAATTATTTCGAGAACTACTCTAATATGCTGCAATTTTATTACTTTTAAGGTCAGAAAACAAGCCATTGAAGCTGTTAAAAAAAGAAAAGGTGATGTCAATAACGATCTTGATGTTCAGGGAGAGTACTTGGTCCAGTTTGGAGGATATCAAGGTCAATCTTTCATATGGATGCTTGAAAATGTACTATCATATGCTGGATGGTTTGTAGACAACATGCGCAAAGAGAAGCCTGGAAAATCAAACCTTAGCCAAAACAAATTTGCTTTCAAGACCTACGTTGAGTCCTTTAGAGAGGGTCGTGAGATCGTAGCCAAAAAGAGAAGAGCACGCGAACAAAAAGAGAAGGAAGAGGAGTTAAAAGCAAAGGAAAAAGGACAAGTACCAACACCAACTGTCCCTAAATCACTTCCTGCTAGTGCAACAACTGGACACCTAAGCACACACAGAGTTGCAGCAAAGTATTCATCATCTGCTGTTGCAGCTGCATCCAAGTTTAAACCAACAGTTCCACCACAGACCAGATGCAGAAAGTCAGCCACATGTACTTCTACTAGCACGAGTACAATTACTACTGCAACAGTATCAAGAGATGACGATCAAGAGATTTTGGCTATTGCTGAAAAAATAGAGGAAAACTTAGGTATGTTTTATTTTGTTTAATGCACCAGCATAATGATTTGTTGTTTTGTTGGTATTATAATTCACATAGAGTGATTTTCTCTTTTAGTTCACAAACCACAACAACAGCCACAACCAGAGCCTGAAGAGTCAATAGAGTCAACACAAGAGTTAACACCTGAGGAAGTACAACCAGCAATCCCTGAACCGATGTCTCAATGTCCAGAAACACCACAGGTCCCAACAGCTCCAATGGCACCATCAGTCAGTGAAATAGATCCAGGTAAATTGCTATTGATTTCAACCAATATTCCTTGAAAAAATGTCACTAACTTGGTTTTATTTATCGTTTAAGATCATCCCCTCCTACCAGAGGGCTGGAGAAAGACATTGCCAAAGGCAGACCATCTTTGGGTATCTCAGGCTCTGTTCACCACTGAAAAGGGGAAAACAGTACTTGATTGGAATAGGTAATGTATGGTTTATTAAATGTATTATTTATTGTATTATTGTATTACTGTGAAATTTTTGTATCTAATGTTTTTTGTTTTTGTTTTCTTTTAAGAGTTGACAAGCTATGGTGGGATCCCCCAAAGCCACCACTTATCCCTGGTAGGCAACCAAGCCCTGATCAGTACTTTGCCCAACGACTGCTTCTTTGGATGCCCAGGAAACTGTGGAAGGTCACTTTATACTGTCCCCATTCAGGGTGTGATAAAAAACCACTAATCAGTGCTGGAATCTACAAAACAGTTCGCCAAGTAGTAGACATTGACTGCAACTACAACCTTGCTGCTGAATACTTGGAATGCAAATCTTGTAAGAGAAAAGTTATCAGTTGGAGTCCTGGTATTGTAAGCCGGCTAGATATGGGCCATCAACTTCTATTTCCGGTACTGTTAACCTATCAGTATGCCTGTGATGTCAGAGTGATCAGACTATTGAGGGATAGAGGTCTTGGTAATAGCTCCACACAGCTACAAAGGAAGCTCACTGAAGAACATAGTGAAAACTACCTGCAGAGATCAAGCTATTACTTTACTGAGTGTGAACATTTTGCAAAGCAGGTGAAGAGTCTTCTAACTGGACCATTTACATTCCAAGAGCCTCCACCCTTTGTACCTGTGCCTRAGTACAAATGGCTGCTGACCGTCTATGCACAAGATGTGATGACTAGAATAGACTACATTAAATCCTCCATTACCTCCATCTTTGGACACATATTGAAGATGGATTCAACAAAGAAAATTGTAAAGAAGCTTGCTGGAAGCAGTGCTGACACTGCAGCATGGGCCACCAATATTGGTAATGAAAGGGGACAAGTGCTGATGTCTGTGTTGACTGTCAACGAAGGAGCTGGATTAGAAAACATGGCAAATGGGCTGATGAGGCGCTATTCTATGGCTGGTGTTACACCTCCTGAAGTACTTTATGTTGACAGAGACTGCTGTTCTGGGACCACTGTAAAGACTAAAGAGCTCTTTTCACTCTGGGATAAATTAATCATAAGGCTGGACATCTGGAACTTCATGAGACGCTTTGCAGCTGGATGCACAACTGAATCCCATCCASTCTACGGTGCGTTCCTCAGCCGTCTCTCACAATGTATTTTCACGTGGAGTGATGAAGACCTGGAACTGTTAAAATCAGCTAAGAAGAGTCAGCTACAGCAAGAAGGTATTGCAGACCCTTCAGATGAAGCTGTCGTTKCAAAGATCACACGACRAGAGCTTGCACTACATTGTCGTAGGAAGACCCGTGGAATAGTTCAGACTGCCACCATGATCTATGACCTTCTGATGACATTCAGTGGTCCTCAGGGATGTGACTCTGCTGGAGTTCCTCTTATAGACAATCAGCGAATATGGCAAATATGGGACACCCAGCAACGCCACATTGAATGCATCCAAGATCCTGCTGGTGTGCAGCTGTATACTCAGACAGGAGTACTCAAAAAGGGAGATGTCATACTACCCACTTATAGATGTGCAAGGGGATCAACATCTCTAGAGTCATTCCACCTGCACATAAACAGATTTGTCCCAGGTACAATATCATTGTTAGTATCATTGTTAGAGCATTCAAATGACATTGTTGGATTTTTTTTTAGGAACCTTAGCTAGTGACATGCACTTCCAAGCCTATTTGCTAGATGGTTTATTGCGGTGGAATGCTGATCGGGCTACCAGTGCTGTGGCTGGTGGTACTACAGGACCTGAATCCTACAGTGGAGCACTCAAGCAGGCTGTTAATGAACAGAGCATGAGAGTTATAGGAAGAGAAATAGCTCCCAGTGTACAGAATGTTGGAATCTACACTGGTGAATGTATTGGAGTAGAATATTTGTACAATCAAACGGGTGAAGTCCTTAGGGATAACACCATAGACGAAGATGTACAGCAGCCTGGAGTCGAACCCCTCTCAGATGTGGATCCTGACCAAATTGATGAAGGATTTGAAGATGCCAATGATGAGACCGTATCAAGAGCAGAAGAGGTATTCATTGTGCCAACTGGCAGTGATGAAGGTAAAGAATAGATATTTTTATTTATTTTAGCTAATTGTTTTTTTAATCAGGCTTCTTCTTTGAATTCAGGATCAGACAAGAATAATTCTGATCAAGACTCTGCTGAGGACACGTCAAATGAATTATCGTGTGAGGCAGATGTAAGTTCAGCTATTATTTTAACTGATGGTTTGTTTATTTCAACTGTAATTTCTATTGTATTTTTTCTTAGGTCTCTGTCGGGCCTGATCACATTGAAGGATACAGACAAGTTCAGGATTTGGCAGAATATCTGGTTTCATTGAGAGAGGGAAGTATGGCCTTGTCGAATACCCAAGCCAAAGAGATTATAAAATTGTGGACCAATCTTCATGACTATGACAAACGACCAACCACATTTGCTCCACGACACCGTACACAGCTAACAAAGGGTAAATTCAAAGCCCCAAAGAGACGAACTACAAATATCATCCCAGGCCTAGATAGCACTAAGAGGTAACTTCATTCGGTAAAAAGTTTGTAATGACTTTAACTAATGCCAATAAATGTTATATTTTTGATAGATGTTTTCTAGGCGCAAACTCTGGTCCAGCACTTTGCAACCGATATGTTGAGGCAGTTATCTCCAGACTGTGTGAGCAATACCCTGGACCTGAAAGATCAAAAGGAGACTCTAAAGCACGATGGACACTTGTTTGCAAAGCCTACAGGGAGGTTAAGGAGAGGATTGTCAGCAATGGTAAGGTGATGAGGGAAACAGCCATTCAGATGCCAGAGGTCAACCAAACAACAGTCAGTCAGTGGTTCATCAAGAGACAAAAAAAGACAGAGCAGGAAACATTGAAGCAGGGATTAAGACCACCTCCTCATGCACCATCTACAAGTCAGGAACTACCAGCAGCTGTTCCATTGCCTCAAACTCTACCTSAGGTTACCTTCCCATTGCCATTCACCTTTGCCTTTCCRSAGAACACCACTGGAAAGGCTACTCTTAAAGGTTCTCGTCMACCTGTTGCAATACAACCAATGCCAGCCAAAACAGTTCAACCAGTCSCAATACAACCAAGACCTGTCCAAGTAGCTATTAAACCAGTACCTGCAACAATAGTGCATTCTGCTATAGGCCCAGTTCCTATCCAGCCAAAAGCTGTAGACACACAACCTGAAACAACAATATCTCGAAAAAGAAATAGAAACCGAACTAGCAAAGATCAKAAATCACCCTATGAAAAGACATGTTCATACTGTGGAAAGCCTAGAGAACCCACAACTCATAGAATGTATTATGGACAGTGGTACTGTAAAAACACTATGAGTGAGGACTTTGAAAGCTGGAAAAGCCATCAAAGCTCTAAAAGAAAGAAAACAGAATAAACAAACATTGCCGGGTGCTGGGCGGCAATAACAAACCTGGCTCCCTCAGTTATCAGTCAGATTCTGAGGAAGGGTGGTGGTGTCCCTTGGTGGAGGAAATGCCATCATAAAACCACAAAACTTCTAATGCCGCCTAGATTACAGTGAAAACACTCAAACAATGAACACTTGACTTTACTTTATTTTTTCATTAATTTTATTTTTTTTTATTTCTTTTTTATTTTTCTTTTTTCTTTTTATTTGTTCATTGATTGAGTGTCAACATTGTAATAGCTGKTATTACAGTTAATATCAAATGTTTTCCTTGAAGTCATTTGCAATTAACTGTAATAACAGCTCTTGCTAGTAGGTCCCAAGCCCTATAAAGTCAGAGGGGAAGTTTGTATAAGTGATGATATTATTCTATTAAAAGTCGCTAAATCCCTTCGTATTGCTTCTTTACTTTTATAATTTTACTCCGTTTTGATTTTTTACGGTTACTTTCATCCTTATAATACGATCGGTTGAGAGGTAGTAAGTACTTATAATGCGTTTTGTCCATTTTAAGTGATATTGCTTTTTTAAACTTTTGAACAATTCGTTTTTTATTATTGCCGATTACTCTAAAATTCCATTTAGAATCTTCTGATTATTGAATATCGTTCGGAAACATGATAATTGCCTGTTTTGAAAGGAGGCACAAGAAGGACGTCAAGTCGAAGCTTGTGAGATCTGTGGTGTGCTTTGGGAAAACCCTTTTCATACTGATATGCGAKGCATTCCTTTGTAAGTGCGACAGAGAAGTTCCCAAAAGTTGTAGAGAAAAAAATCRGAACGCTTCACGAATGTTTCATACTTGTTACAGACTAGGTTGACGTAATACCACAGCGTGCCGTAAAAGCGTGCGCATTCGTTCTTTTCTTTTCTCGAGGCTATATAATAAGTATATAAAATGGCGAAAGTTTTTGGAGATACGAGTTCTTTAAGAACAGCACTTATATCGGTATGAAGGCTTCGGTCCCATGATGATTGCACCCAATTTTACATGTAACACGGGTTTCCTGTTCCCTCATTATATTAAACAGAGAAGATTGAGCTCCTTCCGCGGCCTCGGATGTCGAACTCCCGTGCTATTCTCTCTTTATTTGGCCAATCAAAAGCGTGCATTTCTCTTTAGAGTTCACTTTGTTGACCAATCACAGTCGATCTATTACTTTAACGGATCCTTTGTTTTATCGCCTGACAACCAATGGACCAATCGGCTCTAAGTATAGCTCTGCAAGATGCCTTCGGCACAGAGCCGAGGGGGGAAAATATAAAAATGGCTTTAAAAATCAATCTTTATTCATAAAACTGTTTATACTAATTAAAGAAAAAAGAAAAGAAAGAGAAAGTCTTGAAAAGTCTCAAGAAATGAAGTAGAAAAAATTTACGGCTTCATGAGGGCTCGAACCGCGAACCAAGCAATTTATACTTTGACACCCGCCGTGAACGCAACACAACTGTTGAGCCTGGACCCCCTGTGATTTCGGCTCGGGGAAACCTTCCTCTTTTCTATGACCCAAGCGAGAGAAAGGAGTCATCTAATTCATTGCGAATGAGGTCAGATAAAATCGATTTAGAAGCAAAGCAAACGTAGCGTGTTTCGTAGTATATTTTCAGTAGGTTTTTGTCCAGAGATCACCCAGTTAGAGGCAAGAAAGAAGGCACTTTTACTGCACTCGGTGAGTCATCTTTATATTTATCCGTGCCGTGCCGTAAAAACGTGCACATTCGTTCTTTTCTTTTCTCGAGGCTACGAAAAGATCCGCACGTGTATAAGTGTATAAATATATAAGAAGTATAAGTATCTAAAATCGCGAAAGGTTTTGGAGATATGAGTTTTTAAGAACAGCACTTATATCGGTACGAAGGCTTCGGT